AAGCACTGCACTCAATGAAAGGAACAGTATTCCTCTTTAACAATGAGGATTTTGTTTTCCTCTTCCAGAATTTCCTAAAAATTAATCTCTAGGGTGGAAAACAACATTTAAGGGATACATTGTATACACAGCAAAGGGAGCAAGATCCTACGGTAACCCCCTGAGCCACTTCAACATTGTTCTAGGACTTAAGCCAGGGCCTCTTCCTTAAGTCAGCGGTTCTCAGCCTTGGTCACATACCCCAACCACCTGGCAAGCTTTGAACACTCTTGTTTAACAGGTTGTGGCGGGACCAAGCATCCGTGGTTTTTAAAGCTCCCCAGGTGATACCAGTGTGCAGTCAGGACTGAGAACTGCTGTGCTGGACCATTAGACACTATGGTGAAGGAAAGTAACCATGCCCCAGGAGAGCTTACAGTCAGAATGGGGAGACCAATTCATTAATCACGTAATTAATTAATTAATTGCAACTGTGATCAATGCTGCTGCCCACTTAAATTTCTGGAGGGTTGGCGACATCTCACTGAAACTATAACCCGAAGGAAGGGTAGACATGAATGAGAGGAAAGTTGGGAAAAGAGCATGTCAGGCAGAGGGACCAGCCTGTGCAAAGGCCCTGGGGTAGGAAAGGGCTTGGAGTATCTAAGGATTTGAAAGGCTGATTGGAGTTGTGAGCAAGCGGGTGGGAGGTCTGAGATTGGAGAGCAGGGGTGGCCTGCCACTCATTGTCAGCCTGCCGTGAGTCCATCTGACATGCTGTCAGTATTTGAGCCGCTCTGATATTGATGTGAAAGGCCCACACTCCCGTGTTCTGGGATGAGCAGACGAATAAAGGCCTGACCAAGTGGTCTGTCATATTATACCTCATAAGGGTCAGGCCAGGACCCCCCTCCTCTAGCGTGTGAAAGTTATTCTTTTCTCGGCCTCCATAGCGTTGGAGGTAGGGCATTTTAAAAAAGAGCAGAGATGCTTAGAGAAAGAATAGGAGTTTTCCTTACATCTAAAAAGCTTCCAGGGCTGGGTGTGGTGGCTCATGCCTGTAATTTCAGTACATTGGGAGGCCGAGCCTAGAGGATTTCTGGAGCTCAGGAGTTTGAGACCACCCTGGACAACAAAGCAAGACCTTGTCTCTACAAAAAATAAAAAACACAAAAAAATTTAAAAAGCCGGGTGCAGTGTCTCACGCCTATAATCCCAACACTTTGGGAGGCTGAGGCAAGAGGATTATCAGAACCCACGGGTTTGAGACCAGCCTGGGCAACATGGTGAGACCTTGTCTCTACAATAAACGAAAAAAAAAAAATTAGCCGAGCATGACAGCGTATGCCTATAGTCCCAGCTACTTGGAAAGCTGAGGCAGAAGGATCACTTAAGCCCAGAAGTCCCAGGCAGTGGTGAGCCGTGATCATGCCACTGCATTCCAGCCCGGGCACAACAGAGTGAGACCCCCAACTCTTAATAATAATAATAATAATAATAATAATAATAATAATAATAATAATAAACGTCTAGTCCTCAGTTGAAAATTGCATCTTCTTCCTTCATCTCTATGTTGAGTGATTGGTCCTCTGGTGACTGGAGCCTGAGATTTCCCACTGCACTGGTTGCTCTCTCTGTGGTTTCTCAGATGCTCTGTAGATCCAGTCTCACATTTAATTTCTCCTCCTCTCCGTTCTCCTCCATCTCCCGCCCCCTGCTCCTTTTTCTCCTTTTAAAAATCTGGGCCAATTTCGAATGGACTGTGGGTGGCATGGAGGGAATTCTTCGCACCTCATTTGGTCCCACTTCCCGTTTCTGAAGGCTCATCGTTTATATCCTGTGTCCCTCCCTTTCCCTGGCTTCACCCCCCCTCCGCCCTCCGTCTGGGGCGATGTGAACTGTGCTTTTCATTCGATGCCTTGTGGTGGAGGAGAACCTTTCTTCTTTGATTTTGGGTTGTTAGATACTCATTTAAAGTGCTCACTTCTGTATGTTAGTCTTTCCCTCCCCAAGATTTGAATCTTCATTCCCCCTTAACTAGACAACAGTGTGACGTGTGAAAGCAGTATTTGTCACCGCCATTGTACAGAAGGGAAACCGAGACTCTGACAGTAGTGTGGGGTAGTAGAAGATGCTGGCTTGGCCTGGAGGCTTGCTGGCTGTGGACCCTTGAAAATCACACACCCTTCCAGGCTGCTTCCTCATATAGAAAGGAGATGCCACAGAGATTGAAGCATGGTAAGAGGTCAAGAACCAATGTCATCCTGATTCAGAACCTCCTTTCATAGCTAGAGTATGCCATGGTCCTTTCTGTCACAGGACCTTTGCACAGGTTATTCATAGCACCAGCAACACCCTTTCTCTCCATTCCCTCCTTACTTTGCTTCACTAGTTTTTTCTTAGGACCCATATTAATTCCTTAGGAAAACCCCACTGATGCTTTTCCACACCTTCTGGCATGTTCTGTTATAGCAGTAGCCGTGCTTCTTTAGATCACCACTATTATAGTTATTTCTGATTTGTTCATGTTGCTTTCCCCCACTAGACTATAAGCTCCTTGAAGGCAGGGAACACATTGGTCTTGCTCAACTGTTTTATGCTCGTGCCTTGTACTTGTCTGGAACACACCTAGCTATCATTGGATGGGTGACTGGATGGTTGGGTGGATGGATTTCATTGTGTTTCCTTTCCCTTAACTCCAGCCAATAGTCCCTTCCTAGAGAATTGTAACTATCTGTTTGTCTCTCTTGAGCCTCTTTGAAGAGGAACCCATCTTTAGAAGCCTAGAGTCTAGCCCCATGCCTGACATACAGTAGATGGCCAATAAGCATTGACTGTGTGGTTGTCTAAGCATAACTCTTGCCCATGAGACAGGCAGTTCTAAGGACTCATGCTGCCACAGGAAAGCCTGGTGAGTTATTTTCACACACTGAGGGTAAGGACAGTGGATTTATTCCTAGAAACTGCGTAGAGGGCATTCCTGCTTCCCACCCAGTGCCATGGTTTGTCTCTTCAGTAAGGTCTACTATTCAGGTTGCCAGTTACTGTATTGATTTATTTGTACATAAACAGTTATTCTCTGTAAGCTTCTCTTCGCCAACATTCAGAGATAATGATATACAATCTTTGTAACATTACAGACGTTGCTTCAAAACACTCTGTTGCTATAGGAATGTTTGTGATGTGCTTATCGCTAGAATTTCATGAGCAGCAAACTCCAAAATTGCAGATGATTTAGCGTTTGAAGCAGGGAGTGAGACTGTATGTGTGTTTGCATTTAAAAAAACAAAACAAAACAAGCAAGCCTTGGAAAGGGAAGATATTCTTCTGCAGAGTTATCGTTTTCTAAAGTTTAAAATAAGAACCACTTAAAAGCTGAGAGTTTAGAGGAATGAGCACTTTCTCTTAAACATTCAGATGGGTGAAAATGACTAGTAATACCTCCCTCAAGCATTAAGGCAATAGGCAGTTGAAGGGCTTTTTTTGGAGCTGGCTGTCACAGACAAAGGATTTCTCAATTTTTTTAAAAAAATCATTTTTATAGCATTAAACAGTAGGAATGAACACCAGCAGCCCTCTTGACATTTTGAAAATGATTAATTTTCTGAAATATCCCAGTCCATTTTAATAGATGACTTTTTGTTCTTATTCAAGGAGGGAGCTATGGCCCAGGTTGCCATAGTTCGGGTTGGGAAGTTCATGGTGGAGGCGGACAGGGCTCCAGGAAAAGCTTTCTATGAGCCACACGCTTTGCTACCTGAACACAGCAAGTGGGTGCCACCACCTGTCTCCAGACACCCAGAGCCATGCTTTCCCAAAGCCCCTGCTATAATTCTCCTTCCTGGAGGGGGACTCTCTCAACTCACTTTTTGTAGTCCAGAGAGTGAATTTCAAATCACTTGTGTACCTTTCTCCCTGAACTAAGATGCCAGCTAGACATCTTAGGAAAGTTGTGCTACGCATAAGTCTTTACGATAGCAATACTACCCAACTGTGGTTCAGGAGTGGTGCTCTCTGCAAACTGTCTACTGGCCTGTGAGATAAATACAGAAATTGAGAGTAAGAGCTTAGAAACTTTCATACCAATTTGACAGAAGAATCTGTTGAATTGTATAGTAAAAATGTAAGCCTACATTTGGCACCAATATCTTTACATTTTTCTAACAGTTCATCTTTAAGTTTTATTTTTTATTTATGTATATGTATATATATTTTTTAGAGACAGGGTCTTGCTCTGTCACCCAGGCTGGAGTACAGTGGCATGATCATAGCTTACTGCAGCCTTTAACTCTTGGGCTCAAGTCATCCTCGTGCCTTAGCTTCACGAGTGGCTAAGACTATAGGCTCAGCCATGGTCAGACCATTGTCGCCATTGCCTTACTGAGCTATGGTGTGACCATGTGCTCTTTGAGCTATGGCTAGGCCATTTTTTTCTTAAGCTTTGGTCCCTTCCCCTACCTTGGGGAGGTGAATCTCCTCTTTCTCTCTTTCTTTAATTTACTTTCTAATCTAAAAAAAGACTGTAGGCACATGCCACCACACCCAATTAATTATTTGTTTATTTTATGAAAGTATTCATCTGTAATGGTTTGGAAATTAAAATAAACTGATCCTTCATCACAAATAGTTTGAGAAGCACAGTTTTATAGCACTTTGTAAGCTGCTGCAGCTCCCCGTGAGGCAAGTAGGCTGTTGAGTGGATTTTGAGAAATCATAGCACTTACCAAATTATATTTGTAATAAAACACAGCTCTCTCTTTCTCTCTCTCTCTCTCTCTCTCTCTCTCTCTCTCTCTCTCACTCTCGCTCTCGCTCTCTCACTCTTCTGTTTCCTGAGAGCAGGGACTGTTGTAATCCATCTCTATGTCTCATTCTTCAGTGCCCTGCCTATTCCCCGTTGCATGAGAGTGGGTAAGGCCAGCCTCGGAAACTCCCCGGGATGTCAGATAGTGTCCTCTGCAGTGATGGAGAGCAAAGAGCAGACAAAGAGGAAGTGACCTTCCCCTCTTCTTTTCCTGCAGAACCAGGTCTCCTCTTCCCACCTGTCCAGCAGCATGAAAGCAGCATGACTGGCCAGCCACAGGAGAATCCCCCAGAGCCAGGCCCCCAACTCAGCCATCTACTGCGGAGGTCAAGGTGAGCTTGCTTTCCTTCTTCTGGAAGGCAGAGGAATTTTTAACAAATTGTATATACTTTTGTAATCTCTTGCCATGAGCTGGAAGAATGGGGTTTTCGAGGACAAGGACAGTCTTTAAAAGCATGTTTCAGCCCAACAGGGTAAAATGTTCTCAATTTGGTTAAAAAAAGAGGTCAGTGTGGAGCAGAAGGGATGCTGAGTTGAGTGTCTGGGATGGAGTTCTCACTATTCCTCCATCATCTCCTGGATCTGGGACCTTGGACAGGTCTTTTAGGGCTGGGGTATCCAGGGAATTTTGGATGAAAACAGTATCTGAGATAGGATAGAATTGGCAAGACTGCTCAGTCCATGGTCTACTTCCAGAACCTTCTAGACAGATTCCTGTCCCACACAGAGTCATAAGGGGCCTTAGACGATCAATCAGGCCAATTTACAACCAATGTTGGGCAGTTAATTATTAGGAAGTTCTTTCTAATATTGGACCAAATTCTGCCTCTCTGTGATTTCTGTCTGTGGGTCTCTGCTCTGCAGTTTGGAACCACAAGGACTGGGCTTTCCAAGACTCGTCCACATGCATGTCTATTTGGGTTTGAAGATGGCTGTCATGGCTCTGCCTTCATTTTTTATACATTCTCTCTAGAGACTGGTACCACTCACCTTTACTTCTCATCCCCTCCATGTTGGGAAGGGCATTATTACCTCTAATGTCTGCCCCGCCAGGTGCTTTTGCAACCTGGGGTGTCTTCAGCAGAAAGTCATTCATTCACCATTCATTCTTCAGTAGATATTTAGATCTCCTTTGTGATAGGCATTGTGCTAGACTCTGGAGATATAACAGGAAAGAGTCTCTCTTTTTTTTTTTCTTTTTTTTTATAATCAGTATTTTTTTATTATGATGTTGTGGGGTACAGTTAAGGGTTAGGTATATAAGAGTCTCTCTTTTTTTAAGGCAAAATAGGTTTGGAGCCTTGGAGAGAGTTTGAAATATGCATTGAGCTACTTCAGTATGCTCCTTTTTTTACATTTATCTCTTCAATTTTTTTCTCAAGTGTTCCATAAGTACTTGAAAAAAAATGTGTATTCTTTAATCATTGGATATAGTTTTCTATATACTATTATTAAAATAAGTTAGTTCATTGTGTCACTTAAATGATCTCTCTTTTTCTGATTTGTCTGATTAATCTGTCAACTATTGAGACAGGTATGTTAACATCTGCCATTGGATTTGTCAGCTACTCCTTGCAGTGCTGAATTTTTGCTTTATATATCATTAGGCAATGCTGTTTGGTTCATAGATGTTTAGAATTGATGTATTTTATTAAGTAATTAGGATTTATTTCTACCAACTTGATATACTTTTAGTTTTTTTCTGTCCTTTCTTTTAGGTTGTTTTTTTCCCCCTTCATTCCATTTTCCATCTTATTTGTGGTTACCTCTGCTTTTTTTTTTTTTTTCTTTAGAGACAGGGTCTTGCTGTATTGTCCAGGCTAGCCTTGAACTCCTGGGTTCAAGCAATCCTCCTACCTAGCCTCCCAAGCAGCAACTACCCCAGCTATTTTAATAAGCACACTCAAAGTCTAAAACTAACCAGTGCCTTTCTTTTCCTCCCAAACAATACAAGAACTGTAGATTGGTTAAATTCTTTTTTTTTTTTTCCTTTGGAGTGGAGTGGAGTGGCTGAAGTGCAGTGGCATGCTTACAGCCACCCTCGCATCAACCTGTTGGGCTCTGGTGATCCTTCCACCTTAGCCTTCCAAGTAACCGGAACTACAGGTGCATGCTACCACACCCTGCTAATTTTTTATTTATTTTAGAGACACGGTCTCACCAAGTTGCCTGGGCTGGTCTCAAACTTGCAGGCTCAGACAATCCACTTGGCTTGGCCTCCTAAAATGCTGGGATGACAGAATGAGCCACCAAGCCAGGCCCATTTGTTTAATTCTAATCACTACCTCTTCTGACTTATATGCTGTTGTTATCCTGTGTTTTCATTCCACCCTATTTTTTCCCCTACAAGTTAGGCATCATTGTTTTATACATTGTTTGTATAGATTTTACCCACACATTTCTCAATATCTTTTCTCATTGTTTTTTCATGAATATGGGATCATTCTCCTTCTGCCTGAAATAAATATTTTGGCATTATTCTATAGTGAGGGTATGTTGGTGGTAAACACTCTAAAGATTTTTTTGTTTTTTGTTTTATTTTAGGTTTTTGTTGGTTTGAAATGTCTTTGTTTTGCTCTCAGCTTTGGAAGATATTTTTACTGGATATGTTAAGTCATTGAAGCCTTTATTCCACTGACTCCAGCGCTGAATGTTGCTGTTGAGAAGTCAGTTGTCTGTCATTCCTCTATAAGTAATCTGGCGACATTAAAGATTATTTTCTTTAGATTGTTTTCTTTGGTACTTTGTAGCTTCATTACCATGTGTCTAGCTGTACATTTTTTTGTCTTTATTCTTCTTGGGTTTCACTGGGATTCCTGGAACTAATGATTTGTATCTTTCAACAGTTCTGGAGAATTCTCACCCTTTATTTCTTTGAATATTGCCATCTCCCTATTCTCCCTAATATCTCCTTCTGGAATTCCAGTTAGACTTATATTAGATCATCTCACTCTATTCACCACTAGTTTATATTTTCATCTCTTTGTCTCTCTGTGCCTAACTCTGAATAATTTCTTCAGTTCTATCTTCTATTTAACTGATGTGTTCTGTGTCTTAAATGCTGTTTAATCCATTGAGTATTTTCTTTTCACTTCCTTTATTTGTCATGTATACAAGTTCTAGTCCATTATTTTTCAAATCTATTTGATAATTTTTCTGGTCTCTCATTTCTTGCTCATTTTTAAAGATTTCTCTTTTATTTCTTTAACATACTGAATTTTCTATTTAGAAATTTTACAATTTTATGTCTGTTAATTCCAGAATCTGAAGTCTTTGCAGGTCTGATTCTGCCATCTGTTATTTCTGCTGGCTAGTATTCCTAGTGGCTCGTTTCCTGTAACTGCTCATTTTCCTTGGAACTTTATCTTCAGGAATTACCTGGGGTGTGGATCAAAGTTGTCTTTTCCAGAAAGGATTTGCATTAACTTCTGTTAGTTGTCTGGCAGGGGCCTACCAACCAAAAATCACTTTAAACTAATTCTTTACTTAAGGGTATTCTAGCCACCCAAGTAACATAATTCAGACTACAAACCTGTGAAATCCATCTTATGGTTACAAAGTTTTTAGAGGGTTTTTCCCCCATTCTGCCCTGTCCAAGGTCACATTTCCTTGCAGTTCCCTTCTATGTTGTGCATTTATGTCTCATTCAACTAGAGTAGAGCTATTTGAAGACCCATCTTTATGGAGAGGTCTCTCCAGGCTTTTACCCAGTGCAATTATCATTAGGAACCTTGGAATCTCCAGGGTTCAGCAGAAACCCTCAAGGCAAAAGTCAGCTTTGATCCTAACTTACCTCCCAAGGTTCCTGCTTTTGGTTTCTTTTTACTCTTGAGAGAATCTTTCCATTTGTACTAGTTCAGCAATGTGTGTCTAGCCATGATATCCAAAATTTTACCAGCATCTTAGTTGTCTCAATTAGAAAGGGTAAGATATCTAGTCTGCCATATTGCCAGAAAGTGTATCTTTTTTTCCTCTTCACAGTACCCTGTTGGGCAGGAAATTCTACTCCTTTTTCACAGAAAAATGAATCAAAGCTCAAAGAGGTTAGATAAGTGGCTACAGTCACAGGCCTAACAGACGAAGGACCAGCAGAGAGTGTGTCCCTCTCCTATCTTTTCCTTCCACATTCCCTCTCCCCAGAATAACTGTCGACCATACGTGGGAGTGGGGAATGAGCTGTATACTCACAAAGGATATGAGTTTTTAACCAAAATGCTTTAAATAGCTGGACAGCTTTGTAAAATTTGTTTATGAGTCTATTGTTTATCTTCCTTGAGAGAGGAAATGGCTTCTGCATATTTTGTGGCTTGTTTCTCCAGCGGTCACCAACAACTTGCCTGCCTCACTCTGCAAAGGGCTCCTGGACCCGAAGCCACATCCCACATGCCTTCTCATCCAGACCCTGACTTTCTCTTCTTCTCACATCCTTCCCTTCCTTTTGCCTCTTCTTCCCTTCCCTCTCTCCCCATCCTTCCTGCTACTGGTTTTTCTGTTTCATGGTGGTGTGCTTTTCATGGGAGGACAGGCTACAGAGTTCTGGGGGCTTTGAGGGCTTTAGGGGCCAGGAGAAAGAGCTTGAAGTTTGAACCTAGCTCTGCCACTTACTATCTTAATCTCTTTAGCTTCAGTTTCTTTGTCTGTAACATGGGGACAGTAGACAGAGCTGTTCAAGGACAACACGAGATGATGCTTGTAGAGCTTACAACACAGAGCTTGGACATCAGACGCATTCAGTCAGTAGTAGTTAATATTATGACTGAGAACAGACTACTTCAAGGCCCAGTGCTCTTGTTCAGTGATGCTTTTAAATAGACACCGCTGGTTTATAAAATGGGGTGAAAATGGAGGCAGATGTCTAAGGAAATGTGGGACTCCCAGCCTCGCTATTATGCTCTTCAAACGGAGGTGTTTTAAAAAATAATTTGAGAGAAGCTAGACCATACTGGTCTGGTCAGTATTTGCGGAGGATATAAACCGGGGTTTCTGCAAATGGAGCCAAGACCCCCAGTCTCCTGATCCTGGTCTTCCCTTTGAGTTGTGCCCTGTGTCATGGTGGGCCTGGAGCTGCATGCACCACTCACTATGACAGTTTTCCCTTGTAGAGTCCCAGGTCAAGAGTTGGCACTACTGCTCTATGGACACACCTCCAGTGGTGTTGGGGAAAGGGAGAAGGGTCTTCAATGCCCATTTAGTGCCATTCATATAGCTGGCACAAGACTTTTCACTTCACATGCTCCCTGCAAGTAATTGGCTTCGTGTAACCCCAGATTTGTGTCACTTCCTGATTTGATGCCTATCAGACATCAACTCTTTTTTCAGCACCTGCTATTCA